TATCACTTGCACGCCAGCGACTGTGGCCATTCTCAGGATGACCAGGGAAACTACTTTCACATTACCACGCCTCGCAAAGAAAATCATTCAGGGGAATCTAGACATGTACCTACCAGGCTACGTAAAAGCATACTATGTTCCCTAATGCAAAATAGACTCACCCGGAGTGGACGCAACCACGAGTCGGCGCCAGTGAGATTCGAAAGCCAACTGTTTAGTTACAATCAAAACATTTAGCCAATTCGCTAGCGAGTTTGCAAATTGGCTGCCCCAATACTTCTGACACTTGCTGTAAGGGGCGACAGTCGTCGTGTCGCGTCTTGATCGGCATGGGACTCATGGCGGCGTATACAACGCGTGTAAAATGCATTGTTTATTTACATGAAATTCGAACACGCGCTGCGTGACGACAAACGCGCATTTAAATGTAATGCGGCGACGATGTCGCTGTAAATGTGCGCCCCAAACAAAATTTCCAGCATCCGTCCCTGAAAAGGCGCACCCCACTAGCGAATTATGCTACAAAAATAGTGTGTGTCGCTTATGTGTGTGTGTGTGTGTGGGGGGGGGGGGGCTTCTGCCAAACAAAATATAAAAAATATGTATATATTATTTTCAAACATCCAGATATAAATATTTTCCATTCTCTTACAGCCTCTCGTTTGAATTTGAATTACATTTCTGAATAATTTCTAAAATAATAATAATTTCTATTTTTTTTTTCAACTGAAATGCCCATATCACGTGTAAAAGTCTGCACAACATGGTTTTGCTAAATACAAACAAAGAATGGTCGTGATGCCATGACAAAATAAACTTGGCTGGCAAAGGTATAAAAGAGATTCCAATTACCCCTCCCCCAAACGACTATAATAATAACGTGTATTTATTATACTATCTTACACAGAACAGAATTACTATAGAATAGAATAGAATTCCTGTTCACACATAATTAGAATTTTTGTCTTACGTTATCGACCTTGATTTTGGTCTGACAAGTCATTTTTTTTTAAAATTATTGTCACTATCTTTCCAGGCTCTGGGTTAATACATAGTGGGTATGTTATTCATGTGAAAACACCCATACACACACACCCCACACACAAAATATCACATTTTTTCATAACGAGAACGTACCACACCCACACTCTATAACTGTATTTTTACAGATGTTGTACAATTATTTTTGTTATACTGAAAAAGAACAGATTGCACAGCTTGTCAGTTTCAGATAATACATATCTGAAATGTTAGCCAGAACATTCACCCCAAGTCATTGTCATATCCTTTAGAGGGCGTCTGGTGCGTGATTCGCCCATATGATGATGACTCATTTTCGTGAAGCCCGACGAAGCCTCACCTACAAAGTTTGATGACCCCTAGAACATACCAGGCATGCGCACTGACCTTTACATCTCCAGCTGGATTTTCCTGGCATGCCAAATACTCTATTGTTGGCTGTTGTTTTAATGTTGTTGACGTGTTTTCGCGCTCACGCTGCCATCTCCGTAATATTGTTGAGTCAGACTGCCCACGAAGATGACTAGCTGACATTTTTACAGGTACATTTGTATTGTTTTGTCACATATTTTGTCTATGTATCAATATTATGTTCTAACATCTAACGTAGTCGTACGTGTTTTCACTCTTGACACATTTGATTCGGAAAATAACTAGTACATAGGCACTGTTACTAAGGTAGAACTACTGCTGGTAAACCCAGCGCGGTAAGCCACATATGTAAGCAGGATAAAAACGTGTAAAAACTGCGCTGTTTTGAGGTTGACTATAAACAAGCTACTGAAAAAAATGCAGAAAGGCTTGCGATACAAGGTCGACACCTCTGCAATACGTTCTGTACACCGCGGCGAGTGGTGATCCGTATCAAATGTGAACCTGTAGTCGGTGAAATTACGCTGTAGTGTACAATGACTCTTATATTTTGTGTCGCTGTTTAAAAAATGAACTTATTTGTTACAAATGTAGCTCTTGGGTCGGGGTGGATCAGTCCCATCCCTTTCGCATAGTGTACCCGCAGTAGTATTAAACGACCACTGGATCGTTTATTTTTACATTGTAAAGTAATGGTAATCTATTGCTTATAAATAGACGTTGTATCTTGTGGGGGGAGAGGGGGGTCAGAATCAGAAACTCCGTACTAATCTAGCCATAGGGTGTATTGCTATATGGTACGTGCTCTTACAAAATAAACGTCGTCAAACTCTTTGTATTCAGTTAAATAGTTGTCGACTGAATGTGGGATCTCAATTGTTCTTGAAGTTTACACCTTTTATCGTAGAACAATAAATATTTTATGATAACATTATTCCTGTTGTGTAACTGGTAACTACAGTCTGGAGGACACTTTTAGTTTTACTTGTGAGGTAACCATGCTTACTGTTGCGCTATTACACTATGCGTTTCTTCTATTATGTAATTCCGTGTACTGTAAACAGTTTCATTTTCATTATTTGATGATTTTATGGCATCCGTGCTAAAAAAAAGTTAGGTGAAGTCACTGACACTGTCACTACTTATGAAATTAAAAAAAAACAATTTTTTCATGATACTATTACTTTTTACATTATACAATGTATAACCATCTTGAAATGTCTTTGCCTGATATTTTTGTTTTGTTTTAAATTGCATGGTTACTAAAGTATATTTAGTATAATTTTTACATAGATAACATCTGTTTTTAATTTCTACAAATATTAACCAGTCTGGACCTGCTTTTTGTATCAAAAGATAAATGTTTACCAGCTTGTTCAATGCAATACTATTATCCAGAGAATATACTTTTTTCCCTATATTTTACATTCAACTCGTCAAAAATCAGTGAAAATAAATTCCATACAAAACACCGAAACAGTCTTTTCAGCCAAAATAATTTCCAGCTAAAATAAAAGATTTTACAGTACCGGGGGTGGGGGTGGGGGTTATATACACAATGTTTATAGTTGATTTCCTCAGCTTTGTGATACTGGCATAATAAATATTACCGGTACTAGACTTTTTAAAGCTAGCTTGGTATATGTATTTTCACTGTAACACAAGTAGTTTAAGCAGGATTCAGATATCCATTACATACCGGTAGCATGCCATTCAGCATAAATACATTATGGGAGGGGAATTTCCATTAAATTTAATAGACCAATTAAATGAAATTGTTATTTCTTACGTTGTCATTATGGCCTTTCCTTCCCATGCTGCCAAGAAAAGGTATGAGGTAAATTGAACAAACATAAAATAAAGCTTTTGCCAGTATTCCAAGAATTCTGTTTTTTCTAAAACAAAAAAAAAAAAAAAAAAAAAAAACTTTATCCAGTTCACTGTCATATTTACTGTGTCCTCATCATGAGAACCCATATCATAAACAAAAATTTCAAATTGTTCTAAACCTTTGTAAACTTAGTAGGTGTGTGTACATGCTATAAGGTTAATTACTGGTATTTCACAGTGGGTGTATGGCATGCTAGGTTACACCCATCCACAGAATGATATACTATCCGCCCACACTCAGTTGGATAGGTCAGTGATCTTCATCAGTTATATTTTGATTTTATCAAGGTTTTTTCATGTCTAAATTAAACATAGAACGACCAAGAACAACCAAAAACGGAAGAGATAATTTTGTCCTGAAAATAAATTTGAAAAATGATGTGAGGATATATCATATATGAATCCCATAGTGTATTGTGGTACTCCCATGATGCATTTCACTTATGTGAACATTAGTTAGATCATCTCCAAGCTTAAAAAAGTGGAAGTATATTTACATAACAAACCCTTTACCTTGGTCCATCACTCTATTGAGCATATGTGAAAGAAAATGCACCATTATTGTTACCAGTACTGCCTGTG